GCACGAGATTTCTGGGGGGCAGCCCCCCCAGGACCCCCCTAGCTACGCCTATGTTGGTAGGTATCCTTTAGTTGAGGTTTGCCTAATCTCTGAGGTTTTACCTATCATTTTTCTATTCTAATTTCTTTTATTTTCCCTTTTTGCATAATGCAAATGATTTGGTAGTATTTCAAATTGCTCGTACATATTCTTTGTCAAAAATAGTAAGGCAAACCCCACTTGAATTTTTAAAAACAATAAAACTAATCACTATTCGGTCGAGAAATAAAACTCTGCAAAAAATGCATGTATCATCGGGGGCATTTTTTATTTATTGAAAAACATAGATATAGTAATTTCAGAAATTCTACACAACAAGAACGTATGTATTAAGAGATATACACAATGATGAATTGTATGCTCAGTCCTGCAGCATTGGCTACGGAATGTTTATAGCAGTTAGTTAAGAATTTAATTTTTAAAATATATATTTACACATGATAAAAAGATGACATCTTATCTATATAAGTTTTTCTATTTCTTTCTTGTGAGAAGGTATAAGATTAAATAAAAATGTTTATTGTTTCATTATTTACTGGTACACATGAAACTTTATCATACATGGAATTGTAAGGTGCACTCTTTATCCGCGATAAAGAAATTGACAAACTGCAAGTCATTAGATGGAAGTTAAAAACTTACAGGATAATTTACTATTTCTCTATTTCTCCCCCTCTTCATTATAGTAATAATGGGAGTTTTCAAGAGGCCTTTACGTAGAATCATGAGAGGAACAATTTTCACGGAATTCAAGTAGATATGATCCACCAGTTTGACTTTGGGAATAGACCCTCTAAACGATTTGTCATTGGTAAAAAATATGAAGTACAAAAAATTAGATTTTATGATTTTGACAATGTTGAAAATAGGTATGGACCTGCCTTATGATGTGCAACTCTGCGATATATTTTCCTATGTATCTTATATTTTTCCTGCGATTGCAAATCATCGCAATTAACCCGCGAGTCATGAGGGCATCTGGGGCCTTTTGTTCTCTTGGAAACGGGGGACGCCTTCAATTCACGACGTACACAACCCGCAATGTGCGGACCCTTTAACCTGTCAACAATTCCGGACCTTGAGCGCTAATCCGGCCTCTGATTTTTAATACGACCCCTAATTTTAATTTAACTTAACGGAGCTCCGTCATTATTGCTGAACTTTGGCTCTGAACTCCGAGTGATAATAACCCTCATGAACTGAATTCTGTTTCATTCAACCAAAGTTTCCCTCCAAAATATGGTCGATGGTTTATTAGTCAACCCAACCTCACTGTTTTTCAAACCTCATTTACAAAGTTTGCTCCTCTCTCGTCACGACTATTAATTGGACTTCATTTTGCAATTCGGAACTACAATTTCTGGATCGGTTTAAAAACAACGTATGTACCATTAGTTTCCCTATGGACATAGGAGTTTTTATAAATGACCAAAAATTGTAGCTCCGAATTGTAAAATGTAGTCCAATTCAACTCCTATCCCGGGTGTCTGGTAATCAAAGGTGCGTACTGGGTGACTGTACCCAGCACGCGCGCCAGGAAACTTTCGAGCCAGGCCCTGATCGTGTTCGCGTACCTATCCCACAAACCATCGAGTCGACTCTCGAAGTTCACCCTCTGGCCATCCAAGAAGTCCCTCAACCGGAAGCGCATCTCGTCCAGCTGCCTGAACAGCGCGGCCAGGCTATTTTTCAAGGCGGATTGACCCTGGATCTGTTGGATGGTCGGTATATCATCGTCCCGGGGGTCGCCGATCTGTCCCTCCTCCCGCGTTCCACTCAGATCATCCCACTGCGACATTTCAAGATCGTCCACCTGACGGATTCTTCGATTCGAGCTCGGAGCAGGGGGAGCTAATCTGTGATCGGAGATGCGGCGTCGGAGAAGATCCCTCAACCTATTCGGAGGGGAGGTTGGTGGTTGCGGGGGTGGCGTGGGGTGGAGAGCGAGGGTGCGGTGCTCCTCGCCGTGCTGCAGGAGGAGGACTCCGCACTCCATGAGGTTCCGGTTGAACTGCTCGGTGCTGTTGGAGTTCTGGGCGATGGCGCCCCAGGCGTCCATGAGAATCGGGGCCGCTCTGGCGAGGCGCACGAAGTTGAGGATGGTGCGGCGGTCGGAGCGGACGCCGAGGAGGTTCGTGATGCTGTAGGATAGCATCTCGGTGATGGCGCGGGACATCAGCTCGTCCCTTGGGGTCCCCGCACCGAGGGTGTGAAGTTGGTAGACCATGTTCTTGCAGACTTTGTTCGAGCTCGGTTGAAGATTGTTGTTCCTCACTGTCATGCGAATGAAGTTCCTCGTGAGCTCGTGCATGAGCGTTGCCTGGATTGGGTCTATGCACACCTGGAATAAAAGAAAGTGATAACCACCAACGTATGAGGAAGTAATGGACCATATTTTGCAATTAGGAACTACAATTTCTGGCTCATCATTGAAAACATGCATGTGCTTATGAAAATAATGGTGAATGCGTTGTTTCTAAACTGAGGGAGAAATTTTACATCACGTTTCGTCGTTCCCTTGCGAAGGAAAGTTTGTAACTAAATTTCAATGTTGGCAAATTTCCCCTTCTGAATTGCACCTGTAAAATATCTGTGACCAGGAATATATTTGGTATTTCTTGCCGATTCGAAATGTTCCATAATTTTTTTTTTTTTTTACCCCGTACGAAAATCGGACATATTTCGGACACAAATTCCATGAATGTAAAAAATTGAATTACTAGAGCGAATTTTGCAACCTTTGAATAGAGTTACGTTCCTTCGTCCGGAAAACGACGATTTCAGTCTTGCATGTTTATTAAGTCGTGTTTCCATTTTCAGGCTGTGTAATTTGTTGCATTTTTGTGATGCTTATGTATACGCGGTGTTTCACAGTTAGATCACCAAATTGTGAGAGCATTCGTCCTATGCAAAAAAATAAGAGTTTGTCTTAATGAAGTTTCCTCTAGAAGTGTGCGCAGTCGGAGTGATGGCGTCCCCCAAATTTTTGGAGAAATTATGGTCCTCTCTGAATTTTGACGACTGCAGTTACCAATTATTTAAAAAATAACTGACGTATAAATGTTCATTGTCGAATGCATTCATACCCTCAAAAATATCGAAACCCCAAATTTCAGGGGGAGGAAGTCTCGGATATTTTAGGATGAAAACTTACCGCCTCTCTTTGAGCCCCCAAAAAACTACATCAACTTGATACTTCAATATTTTTTTGTAAGCAAGTTAAAAAACCGTGGCAAATCCGCGGACAATCAAAAGAAGTTTTCTCAGAGATCTTTTTTTGCTGTATACGGGCTTCGTGGTAGGACAACTCCTTTGAGAAGGTTTTACATAATCAAATACCTTGCCGAGGGTGGTGTTCCGAAGCGAGTTGCGGGAGGTTACGGTTCGTTCGTACAGGAGACACAGGACTTGGTCCACGTACTGAAGGGGGTGGTAGAAGACCGGATGGCATCCGAGTTCAAATTTTGGAAATGGGTAGCCGTCCATGTCTAACATGCTGATCCTCCCGTTGGCGCAAACACCCTCTTGGCGGCGCTCTCTGAAACCGGTCAGATTCAGGTCCATGTCGAAAAGTTCCAGGACGAAGGGGTCCGCAGCTAGCAGGTTCGACTCGGCTGCCAGATTAACAGTTTTCCTCACCGTCCACTTGTTCGTGTTTATCATGAAGTTAATGTTCCAGCATAAGGACGACGCCGGTATTGGAGCGTAACAGAGAGGTATCGTTACACGATAACTTTCTGAAAGACCAAAGGGTAAAAATACTATTGAGGAGACTCCGATAAGATTACATTTTAGAGGTCGTAAGCAGAACCACTCTTTAGATATACGGTGCTTTTATAGGGAGAGTTTGACTCCTGAGCGATCCAATTGTGATTAAAAATTGTATTCCACTGAAATGAAAGAACAAGTACAAGGTATTTTATGAGTGATCTTGAAATACCTACTGGTAAACTAATTTTGAAAATTTACACTGTGACTAAGGGTGATTTAAAAAGACCTTTCATACATAGCGCCACAAAGAGGAAGGTTTTGAAAAAATTAAACAGTGTAGCCTTATAAATACATCCTCACAACGGATGGCAATGATTTACCTCCGTAGAAGATTCAAAATACAAGAGAAAAAATCCAAGATTTCAATAAATTTCAAGGTTGGCGTAAACCTACTTTAATACTTTGTAAACTCTCAATATTTTCTCTTTTGCACATTCTCCTATTTGTACTGACAAATCATTTGAATCCTTTGCATGGACTCATTTCAAAAACGTGAACTTTACTAGAAAAACTTGAATGTTAGCCCTTAATGATGCCAAATCTTCAGTCACTTTATGAATCATATGGGGACCCTCTGAGGGGAAAATTGGAAGAAGAACAACTATGAATGAGATTATCTCCAGGTGGTTGGAAAATATGAGGTATTAGTAAGACAAGTCTTAAAAAGAAAAATTATCATACTCCTCATTAAATGAAGTCTCAAAAATCTACCTGTGGAGAGATGGAACTCACCAGTTGCGGTGTAATACTGAACGAATCCTCTGAGTGCTTCCCTGTTGAAAATACCGGTGCGGTTGTTGCCAAAAAGATTCATGTAAGTGTTAAAAATCCATGCGACTACCTCCCCAGGGTTAGAAAGGAATTTCTCAAAAGATTCTTGTTGTTGATTGAGAAAAAGTCTCCACGCAATCCGTAAAAGCGTCTCGACCCCCGTCATATTCGCTCCATTCGCTTGCAACATTGAATCAAAAATATTCTCCAAGGAGAGGTTCCGTATGCGAAACCATTGTCTGCTCCAAAGATAACAATAATAAAAATTGTATTACAAATTTTTTTCGGGATATTTAATTAGTTAATTTAGTTTAGTAGTAGTAGTAGTTAGTAAATTTAATCATTAAGTATTAAACCACATTTATGTTTGTTTTTAAGTTATATTACTCCTTATGTTAGTTCTCCTTCTTGGCCTTAATCCCTGAAAATTTGGAAAGCCTGGAGCATGAATGCGTACTAACCCTAACCCGATGCTCACTCGAGGTTGCAGAATCCTAAAATGGATTAAAAACCTCAAATAACCTAAAAAAGAAGATAGAAAAAAGTTCTTTAATTATGCTTACCCACTGACATAATCAAAATCCTGGTCATCGAGCTGGAAGACGTAGTCGAGGGACTCGTTGACGATGTCGTTGAGCGTGTGGTTGAGGGCGGCGTTGACGGCTTGCCTCAAGTCCTGGAGCCGTTTCTCGATCCTGCGTCGGTCGTTGGCCGGGTCCAGGGACTCCTCGAGGGAGCGGTTAAGCGCCCGGCGGAGGAGGCCCTCGACGGGGCGCCCGAGGAAGTAGCTGAAAGGGACGTCACCGAGCTCCCCGATCGGCCGCCGCGAGACCTCCGCCCAGGCCGGGTTCTCGCTCGCGTTGAACAGGGAGTTCACCTCGCGATTGTAGCGGCTCATCAGGGAGCGCTGCAAGTCGCCTACCTCCAACCTGACCCGGATGAATTTGGAAGCCGTGTCCGCGGGGATGTCCTCGCAGGCTGCCGAAAAAGTGTTTCATGAAATTCAGTACAGTATAGTCTCGATTATCCGCGATATCTCCTTATCCACGATAGTTGGGACCGAAGATATCGCGGATAATCGAAAATCGCGGATAATTCGAATCGACGCAAGAATGCCGGAAAAAGTCATCGCAAAAAAAGACTGTATTTTAAAGGAAACGGTAGAGACACTTACCATGCATTAGAAAAGAATATAACTATCAACTAAGAATCAGGTTTTTCCCAAGAGTTGAAAGTGCTCCAACCCTTTTCTACCTTCGTTCTTTAAACTCAGGTAATAATGGAGGCCTGCACGTGCGCGTATAAATGGAAATATGGTTTTCCAAAGAAGAGAGGAATGACCCCGAATTTCTTCGTTCGGTCCCGGTCGCTTTGAAAAGAAATAGAAAAAGTAAAAAAAAAGTCCGCTCCACAGAGCGCGGATAACCGAGGCGCGGATAATCGAAACTCTACTGTAGTACAAAAACAGCTAACGGCGTAAAGTGGATCGAGCCAACAGGAGAGGTCGGATACAATTTGGAAAGTTTAAAAGCTTATAATTCCGTTCATACAAAACTGTACATACAAGTTTTAAAAGTGGTTTCATTGGTTTTCTCGTGAAATTTTTCTCCGGAAGCACCTCTTAAACTTTGGAATCTCTCACATAATAAACAGTTATATACAGTTTTAGTCAAAAAATCATGTCCGACCTCTCTAATTGACTCGATCTACTGTGCGGCAATGGAGTGTACTGGTACTGCAAGGGTGATGCAAGTAAAAACAAACGTAGATCGTTCTCAGCTTACGTGTCGTAATTCTTTGTCGTCTCTATTTTCAATCAGAGTCGTTAATAGTCATTGATATATTCAAATTTTCATGCTTATCTTGGATTAATTCTGCCAATTCATTGATACTTACCGTAGTATCTTCTATCTTCATCAGTGTTGATATCAGTTTCACAGCATTTCAAAGATTTACTCAGATCTGCCCTCTGACATGTTCCCCATCTGAAGAAATTTAACTCGATGTTAAAGTCTTCACCAACAACACTCCGGTCCAAATACAGAGAAGCATTTTTGCTTACAGATTCTTCGACGGATACATCATCACTTCCATCTGCAAGCAATTCGACTCTTGATTAACAAACTTTAGTTTTATAAGTCGATGGGTCTATTTTTCAAACTTCATAATCCTCGTTTACTGCTTGACCTACAAAACTGAAGTTCCCTTGTCTTACAATTTTATGGTGCTCTAATACGCTATACCACAGATGTAGGTTTCGAAATCTGCCCGAAGCTGACATGATGTCCGTTTGGTTAATGGAATTAGACCTTTACCTACTTGTGGGCCGATGTTTTTAAGAGGACTTAATACTTTAAAATGGGAAGTACTATTGATATTAAATTTGTGGGGGCTTTTGATGATTGCTTTTACAGTGATTGCTTGTGCAGTGATTACTTGTACATGAGCGTAACTGGTGAACTTGGGAGGGGGAGCAAGGACTCATTTATCTCTCAGCGCTCATTGATTTTGAGCAACTAAATACTTGTACGATCACAAATTGTCTAGCCGGGAACGGGGGGACGCAAGAGCTTTTTGTGGGGATCAGTTCCTCCCTAGATACGTGCATGTGCTTGAAATTTTTTATTGTGAGTATACAATTATTTGGCATTGAGCGCAACGGAGGAAATTTCATAATACATATTTAAGATTCAGTAAAGATGTAGACAGTTTCTTTAGTGTTGACAGGTTTTTTTTTTTTTTTTTTTTTTTTTTTTTTGTAATTCTTAGAGGCCCTTAAAGCTGACCTGAAGTTGGAACACAATTATTTACTTGAGACTTCATTTAGAAGAATTAAGACCCCTCTGAGTGACCTGAATATCTCGCATCATCGAGTTTCTTCCAAGACTGAGCAGAACAGAACCAAGGAATGATCGATAGCCATATTGCAAGCAGCACTACTCTTCCACTAGTTTTCGAAGTGCTATGCCATATTTGCTCCATATCCTAGAAAAACAATCAAAACATTATTTTGGAAGAAGCTGAAAGTCTGATTAAATATTCACAATGCACTCAATTTTGCACGGATACCTGTAGTTTATAAGAATCAAAAAAAGAATCGTTCGAAAAATCAAAATAATTTTGTTTTCATAACTATGGAGAAAAACAAAAAGACAAAACAGAAAGAAGAGAAGAAAGAGAAGAAAATTAGCATTTTGAGTAAATATGTTCAAGATGGGTGTAATGGTGTTCGTCACTGAAAACTTATGGCCAGCTTTTTCTCTTCACTGTTTGAAAAGCTTGATCTTTCTAACAATTGAGAGACTTTAACGCTAGGCTAAGAAAGCGCCCGGGAAATCTTACTATCATTCATTTCGGAAAGAGGGGGATTTTTTATAATTTTTTAAAACATTTCCTATTTAATTCTTGTAAGTTTACCCTCTTGTCCCTTTCCTGAATAAACTGCTGCTGATTATACGCTGTAGTTCAGTGGAAAATGAAGAGGAGTTCCATTTCATGGTCTTGGTGGAATCATAAATAAGAATATTTATAATTTGTTATCGTCAAAGTTTTTCTTTTTCTTACTTCTCTTAATTCGTATTAGCCAAAGTTTGCGTTTTACAATATGTCAACTGAGCAGCTGTTTATTAATATTTGAAGTTTAATTTGCCTTTGAATGAATGTTTTTTTAAGGGTTTTAAAGGATTGATTTTCTGATAGGATCAGGCGTAGGTATTCATGCGTGCAAACGGACTGAGAAGTTCTTGAATGGTACTACCATAACCTAGCTTTAGGTGTGACTTAAGCTAGAGTACTTCCACTTGCTCAGTTGTTTTACATATGGTTGGAGACAATAAAACCCGCGTGATGGAAACAAAAGGTGGATAGCGGATCTAAGTCATCAACCGCTGAAAGGAACTCAATTATATATGACTAGTGAGAACAAAAAGATGCAAGTCAAAGAGGATCCGTTGGAAAGCGCACAGAAGGGCAATGATGCCACTTTGAATTGTCATACTGTTGTATATTCCTTCCCCAAATACAGCCTCATGTATTCCAAAGGGTGTTCCTAATGAATCATTGCGGTCATCTAAAAGGCTTTTCCAATTTAAAACTGCAACTAAAGCTTTCAGATACAATTCAATAAAACGTAAAGTATATTATTTAGTGGTAATTTCAATGATTCAATTAGGATATATTGCCTGATACGACAACTAAGCGAAAAAGGCCACGGGTGTTTGGAACTGGTCCAATCGGGCATTAGGATGAGGCCCAAGCGACAGAGGTCGACGCGCCGCAGATCAAAACTTTACTTTTGTAGGTTAGGGTCTCGGTCCTGCAATTAAAATCAAATCTTGATTTCATCTTCGCAGACGTCGTGCAACAGGCTCGGGAATTTTGTGGATTTTAGTCGTCGTGGCCGGAAATTGCGGAAGAGCGGGTATCCACAATTCGAAGAACAGTGTGCGTGATTATTAGACCCTAATTTTAAGTCATCCTCCGCCAAAATTCAGATAAGTTTATTTTATTTAAGTTCTTTCGGGTGAATGATCGAGATAAACGTTGTGCCGCGCCGCGAAGTCGGGATGAAAATAAAATTGAGCGCGCGGAATTTATGTTTTTCACCTCCTCTGAGATGATTCGGAAAAAAACCATTATTTTTTTTCAAGTGATAATTATGTGATAACGCCACCCACCACGAGGCGCATGGAAACAATGTAAGTGCCTGTATTTTTGGATACAACTGTCCCCGAAACTGTAATTAACCCATTCATCGAATGAAATATTTATCCTCATAAATTCCGCAAATGCTTTGTGTCCATTGAACTTAAAAAGTGGGCCAATTATAGAGTGGCAAAATAGATAATATCGTCCTGAGTGCGACAATCTTGGTCAGTGCTTAATCGTCTCCGTATTTTCCTCCGCGAGTCACAAGTAATAAGGTAAGATCATATGCGTGAAGTCCCGTTAGACATCGAAAGTTTTTAGTGATAGCATACGACGTATACGTCGGATTAAATAGTAGATGGATTTATTCAAATGAAAGTTAATGAAAGAATTAGCAGTGAAGGCGCGGGACATTTATTTTTCACGATTCGCGAGTTAATGGAATTTTCACTCAGACATTGAATTTCAATAATTACGGACTCATAAGCAACAAGAGGCTCATACTCGAAGTGTTCAATCTAATAAGGTACAAGTCAATCAGTTTAAAAAAGACCGTTAAAAAAAATTTAATCTTGTAGAGCCCCGGATTTGCAATACGAACAGGTTAATCATTTTTTTCTCCTCGTTTCTCCATTTTAAGTTTTCATTTGCCCGGTGAAAATGAGCATGTAAAATATTTTGAGATCTCTCGTTCTTTTTTTTTCTTTCTTTTTTTTTTATTCAATTTATGTCTAAAATAATTTTGTGTTAAACTAATAATACTAAAAAAATCCTTGATAATGAAAAGTGCGAGCGTTACAACAAAAGTTGCCTCGATGGTCTGTTTTATCTCCATACTGGTGCCGGTGAATTTCGCATCGGACTTCGCGAACGTGACCCTGGGAGCCGACGCTCCAGGGACGGGCCGGGATCCGGGTCTCTTCGACCTGTTCCCCAACTTCCCGCGTCCCTTCAAAATAATCGCCAAGCCGACACCGGGCCCGAACAAGACGCAGACGATCCCCAAACCCCAGAAGGGCTCTAACAGGACGCAGAGCCCTCAGAAGCAAACTCCCTCGACGGGGAGCGTGGAGATCCCTGCGAATCTGACCCTACCGCTTCCCGTCTCCCTCGGAGGGACGACTCAAGCGGCGCCGGTGAGTGTGGTCAGCGAAACCGTCCCTGCGAGCACGGATGCTCCGTGGTTGGGGCAGATCAAGTACCCGTGCTCGTGCGACGGAGGGACCTGCGGGTGTTGCACGGGACGCATCCTCCAGAACTTCAACATCAACTTCCAGCAAAGGGGCTGCGTCAACGTTACGTACTTCAACGAGGACTTCGAGTTTCACGTCCGGATGATCTGGAACGATCGCGTTTTCTATCAGCGCAGGATGTCCGGTGAGTTCCTTTGTTTGTATGTGATGCAGCCACCCCCTTCCCTCCCCCGAAATCGACTTTGTCACCATCTATGAAGGTTACACTTAAATGGGTTACATTTTTCAAGTGGGAACTATAATTTCTGGCTGAATTTAGGAACAGCATATCGACAGTGTAAGTCCGCGACCACGTATCTCGGTATGTGACGTTGCAGACTTCCTGTCATACTTTATTTCTAACGGAAAACTACTTGACCGGAGTTCTTAAAAACTGCCGTGATTTTTCTTCACTTTACTACGAAAATCATGCAGGAACCTCAAGGAATAATGTTGATTTGTACTTTTTTAAAAAAAATTAAAATAGGAGCGGATATTTTCAAACAACGCAAACGAGATACGTATGGTTGCGGGCTTACACCGTTGATATGTAACTTAAGTTTCTCTATGCAGATACGTGTTTTTGTGTATGAGCTAGAAATTGTAGTTCCTAGTTGCAAAATCGAGTCCGAATGAGCGCGTGACCTATTCTGCCTTGCTGAGGAAGAACGCCGCAGGAACCTTCAGGCGTCACCAAATTTCCTTTAAAAATGCGAAGTGTCAGGGGAATCTGTGTGTATTTTTCCTTCAACTTTTCAGAGTATTTTAAATCTGAATCTTATCTGAAAATACCAAGCGAAAATATGCATAACTGGCATTGAAAATTAACATTTTATTGAAGGAAATTTGGCAACTCTCGAATGTTCATACGGTGTTTTTCCTCGGCACGGTAGTATTTTTTGGGACCGAAAGTGCATTACATGCAATAACATTCAGAATCCAATGGTATGTCATTAGAGTGGTAAAAGTCACTGCAATTTATAAAACGCTCACATTTTTCACAAAATATGCGAGGTTTTCATACCGTTTGATTCCCAATCCATGGGGGAAAATGTCATAAAGTGGAAAAGTCTAACATCGAAAAGAATAAAAATGGTGATTTTCTGTTCTAGCGCTAATCCAAAACCGGGGATACATACAAATATGCGGCAACTCTTTGGGCTTATTTTATTTCAACTGTTGTTGAATTTACATTTGAGGGTCTCTATTTTGTCTCTCTGAATACGGCACGTACTTATAGAGCTGAGTAAGCCGTCGAGAGTCGTCATCAATTTTTGCAGCATACTCGAAGTACTGACGAGTGAAGTTTTATTTGACGGAGCCGTACAGACGCATAACCACTTCATTTTGATATTAAGATCAATTGGATCGCGTCAAACAGAAAGGAACCAAGCCACATCAGCTATTGCCAAATTTAACCGGGCAATTTAATTTTTTACGTGAAAACGGTTGTGCGGATTTCAGTGGATTTTCTCCACAGTGCGCAGTAAATTCCTGCAAATTTTCAAAGAAATCCACACTGATGTTCTCTCGTAAAAAATGGAATGCCCCTGATAAATTTGGCAATAGCTGATGTGGCTTGGTTCCTTTCTGTTTGGCGCGGTCCAATTCGGGCTCTTTGTTCCCGAATTCGTTGAACAATCTATCAAGAAGTTTGGCTAATTCGCGGACTCTTTTTTCAGGAAAGAACCCACCTCCGCTATGCATCCCCCTGCCGCGGGTGGTGAACCTGAAGTTCTGCGTCAAGTTCAGCAACATCTACATGATCGGGCGGAACATGCACATGTGCATCGACATCGAGGGGCTCCTGGTGGAGTACCAGGTGTTCGCCTTCAGCTTCGACTGCATCCGGCTGGGCAGCAACGGGTTCGCGGTCGTGCGGCCTGAGGACGGCGGGGGGTTGGGACCCCCACCGGACGAGGACCCCTACATCCCCAAGCCCAAGCCCACCAAACCCCCGAAGCCGCCCAAACCCCAGAGCACCAAGCCCAAGCCCCCGCCCGGGTCCCAAAGCGGCAACAAGCCCAACAAACCCAAGCCCGACGGCACCACCACCGAGGACTACGACGCCATCGTTGCCAGTGAGGGGGATGAGATAGACTCCGCCAAAAGTGCTGTTCAGCTCTGAGTGCTAGAGTGCCACAATTCGTTGCCCCTCTGCGGGCCGATTATTGAAACTTATAGACAAAGTTATAGACAAAGCCGACAAAAGGGATTTGGAGGGATCCTATTGGCGGAAGCAGGTGGTGGCAATAGACATAGGAGGTAGGTAATAGACTAACTAACGGCAACCCACTGAAGACCCGACAGTTAGTCCATCAATTTCTGCCTTGGTCTATAAGAACCAACCATGTCAACCAATAGGATCGCTCCATACTTCCTGTGTCTTCTTTGTCTATCGCTTTGTCCACCAGTTTCAATAATGGGCCCGCTGGACGTAAGGGCATATCTCAATTTTCACGTGAGCCCTGTTTCACAATAAAGCCATGCCTTCTGAGGCTCGTGCAGAAATCGAGATACGTCCTAACGCCAAAGGAGTGACGAATTTTGGGGGGAAGTAATAAAATTGCAACGACGCAGGGCCGGATTTTAGATTTTTGGAATAATAGCAGACGCAGTAAGTAATGCGGCCACTTTAAAGTGCACCTTTTGGGTACAGGGTCTATAATGGCGAGCTTTCCCTGCAGAGGAAAGTCCGGAAGGCCCTTTGTCGAAAAAGTAAGAAATTTTAACCCCTCTTAAACGCAGTTTGAGGCGGTTTTTTTTTACATATTTTAAGGAATAAGAACGAAATGGGCCTATTGTTGATTTAATTATAAGCCAAAGAAGAGGAAATACTGGAGTCGAAAAAAGAAATGAAAAAGTTTATGTAAAAGGAAAAGAGGGAAAAACTTTAAGGCGCGGGCCAACTTGTGGTACGGGCCCCTAGATGCGCGCTCAGTACGACTGTACGGTAAATCCGGCTCTGCAACGATACGATGTTTTACTCCACTACTTGTTTCTATATTTACTATCCAGGAGTCTATTTTTCCAAAAAGACCAGCTTTCTCAAAGGGATGTCGCTTTCAGAGGCAATCTCACACCAAAAATGTGTAACACCAATGATGTAGGGTTTCGGCAAAGAAAAGACACGGTGTGAAGAAGCTTTGAAGTTAATCTGCTGTTTAGAGATTTTATTTTTTTATGAGAAAAATTACAGTTTGATTTTTGCAAAATGTTGTTTTTTGCAAAAATGAGAAAAACCTTAAAAAAATCCTCACTTCCAACACATTGAAAACAGAACTGCACATTATACGGCATGCATATAGTAAAATTAAGTTAAACATTTGGACCATCTCATGTGGCTCCGTGACCTTCGAGGATGGTACGGCTTTTTTGTTTTCACTGTTCGAATAAAAAATTTCCTTTTTTACATAAGAGTCTTGGCCTACCTCAATGTCATTTTCGTTACCTATTGGGACTATGAATTCCACGGTTCTAAATCAACAGAGTTTTCTGTACCCCTCCAAGCTTCTTCTTTTAAGAGTAAAAAAATATGCTAATGCGAAAAAAAATGTGAAATAATTAGTAACCAAATTCCATCGCTGAAATACCTATAAGAGGTCGCCTATAAGAGGACTCTCCGGTTGATTGGTTCGTCTGAAACAAAAAAAAGTTTTTTTAATCTTTGATTATTTGACTCGACGTAGACCAGACAGCGTTTAAAATATATCTACCGTGAGCTGTCAGAACACTATTTGAGGTAAATATTTCATGCCACACTGTCATGTTTCAAGACAAATGTGCGTGAAAAATCCGAGGAGTATTTTTAATTTTGATTCATAGAAGTTACGACACACGACTATGATTTCGTTATTAGTTCGTCCAAAAATGAAATAATTTCACAATTTAGTTAAGATCTGAGTTCTGACTTCCATTTGAAAATCATATGGCAAAGATTCAGAGATGAAAATAATTTGAGCTGCTAAAATGGTCTTTTCGTGAAATTTTGTACTCTACCATATCTTTGCAGTTAAGAGATTTCAAAATTTCCTCTAAATCAAAACACAATCGTTTCTCATTCGCATAACTAGGGTTTACAATCTAACTTTGGCTGCATGACAAACGAAGTGTATATAATTTACAGTTACGAAGTGGTACAAAAGAGGATGATTTTCCCACACATTCAGTAAGTTGATTCATGATCTTCGGATACTTAGAAAAGAGCCCATATATTAAATTCCAAAATTTAGCTTAGAATCACATACGTCAAAAAGAATTCGAAATTTTTTTTTTTTTTTTTCGCGGAAATGTATATGTAGACAAAATACTTGCATCTAAAATACTTTTTTCTGACCACAAGAGGCAGTGCCCCTTTTTTTATTCGTGTAATCTTCAATTCTAAGGAGCACCTACAAAAGGAAAAGTGATTTCAAGAGCACTGGCTGTGCTGGAACTTGACCTGCTCTTGGCTAGTTAGATGTTGGCACGGAGTGAATTCATTAAGTCTCTGATCAAGTGGTCAGTGGCTCAGTCATCAGAGTCGCACAGTGTTGCCATATCTCTCATTCAAAATTATATTCATTGTGTCTGCGTGGCGTGAAATAATCTGAGATTTTAAGCGTAACAATGCTCTGACGAGCTGTGTCACCGCGGATACGACATACAAGGTTGAGACAGCAGAATAAATATTCTGATTGAAATTTCACAGACTTTTCTCAAAGGTTAGAAGAATTGTCATATTATTCATGTAAATCACATTAGAATCTGCACAAGATAATCGAGAAGCAACCAACCTTATCATTTCCCTGACTCTTAAAATATATATGCCAAATGACCAGAAAGTGGCCTCATCTCACCAAAAAAAGCCTTGGACCTATTACCCTGGAGCAATTTATTGACACATTAAAACTTTTTCCTAAAAATCTGTGAAAACATGCAAATATTCCTCCTTCATAAAAACTATAGAATTCTTTTGTGAAACAGATGGGATTTCTTATGCATGATAGTAAAAAAGTGTTCCTATCAAATTGTGAAGACTGCTTTAGATCCGTCTCAAAATATTTCACTTTGAACACTGAGAGACTCATGTTTTGAAACTTAGGTTATCATCTGACGACATCCCTCACAATATGCTTAATGGATACCGAACTATCTCTTTATATCGAAGTAATTGGAGCTAAAGCTGGCACCCTTGATCAGGAAACAAAACAGAAACTTTCCGAGACCACGTATCATTAATCAGAGTGCAACGACACGTCAGATCAGTCATTCTAATCATTGACAGTTGCTGGGTCAGGGACCACATTCTTCAGGATTTTAAAAACTTTTGTTTGAAGCGCAGGTGATTTTTTAGATCATTGGTACTTTTTGGTAATCTTCTTCCTCCTTTGCAACCAACGAATATCTTCCGTCGATTTGATCATTTTCCTTTCACCCGAATGCTTGAGGTAAAATTTTCGCACGCCCGCTAAAAAAAAGCCAAATGCCCATTCCTTAGATTATAACGCTATTTTATTCACTTCATTAACAAAGGAGCCATCTGTTTTAAACCTTTTCTATCGATGGGAACTTTTTTTATCACATTTGCACACACAAAAAAGACATTAGGCTGATGTTTGGCTCTGAGTTGTTCGCTGAGATGAGTATTTGCAAATTATATTAACTGGACGAAATTAATTACATGAGTCAATTTCAAAAGTCAGAAATACTGTACTGGCCAGTAACTTTTTCACAGATTGCATATTACAACAAATTTAGTAGGCAACCAAAAACGTTTTTCCCAATTCTTGTTCATCTTGTTATACACACATGTTGTACATATCTTGTTCATGAAATGGATTGTTAAACAGGATGCTGCTTCCAAAAAGTGGGGAAAGACGTTAAAGAGGAGGTACTTTAATGTGTTTGAACCCAGCTTGAATTTTACCATAATAGCAATAAAGTTTGAAATACTTTTTTTAAAAAAAATATGACTTTTACAAGGACACCTCACAGAAAAACTGTTAACATTTATTTTTAGAAAAAATTCGTGTGTGTTTTTTGAATGAAATGCAGGTCAAAGGAGGATCAACAAAACCTAAAAGATCTGCTGTGTAGTTTTTAACTCTTATAAGGTCTGGAAAAAAATCTTAAAAACTATTAAAAAATATAAGTTATATTTAAAGATTATTATGCCTGTATACTACCAGGCGTAAAGTTTACATAAAGATAGATCCAAAAAAGTCTCTTAAAAATGTATTTAATCGTTTTTTAAAGGATTTTGATTAATTTTTTGTAAATTTAAATGCCTTGTCAGGAAAATGATGTAACCAAGAGGAAAATTGGATAAATAAGAAGTGGATCGAGAGTTACTAGACCAGAGATTCTAAAGGCCTCAAGGACACGCTCTGTTATCTGAAGTCGCTGAAATACTGAAAGTCTGCGGAGTAATAGTTGAAAAAAAAAAATCGAATCGTAACCAAACAAGTTTGTGAACTTGAAAGTGCAGATGAGCTCTTACGCAAGCTGGCCCGCCATGCGAGCCAAAAAAAGCGCCCAGTCACCGAAAGCCGATCGAATTTGAGCTAGGCGTGAAAAAAAAGTCTGAGGAGCGTTGGTGCACCAATTAATCGGTTTCGTTGGCGGCAGAAAGTAGAGTAAGGATATCACGCCAGCGAGATGAGATGACGGGATAAGTGAAATTGTCAACTTTCTTGTCAGCGGTAGCGCCGCCGCGTGAACTTGCGAGCGGGGGTTCCGTGCCAACTTGCTTCCTCGCTGTTGCCAACTCAACATCAACTAAAAATGGGTATTTTTTTTTGTTGATCAAAACAAAAAAAATTTTCCCGATTTTCCTTTAATTTTTTTTTCGTGGAAGACCTTTTCTTTGATTTAAAGAAAATGATCTAGGTGAAATAATGTTTTCTTTCGGTTCAAATAAGTTCCTTTTTCTTTTCTTTTTTTCATTTAAAGAATATTAAATTATTCATCGACGAGGAATCTGCATCTTTTTAGGTAAAAACTTTTTGGCATCGGGAAAATCATTCTACGCAAAAATTAAAATCTGTAAGTAACAAAAACAATTCTTTGCCCCAAAAAATCCGCTTTCAATAAAGTAGAATTTCGTTTCGATTTAAATTTTTGCCGGCTTTTTTTTTTTTTTTTTTTTTTTTTGGTTGTGCGCCGAAAGATTCCTCGATGCAAACCAATATTTTCGAAGAAACCACCCAACAAGAAGAATACTCCTTGTAGGAATATCAACGGATTTTGCCTCGCCGTAGAAGGGCTTATATGAGTATGATTTCTCATCCAGCAACTTTCTTGGTCGGCAACGCTGCGACCTTCTCGATCAGCTACAACTTTCTTCCTCGGTGTTTTTTTCAGCCTTACTTTAAAATTTATATTTCACTCTCTTCACCCGTGAATAACCGGAGCCCCTGCCTGTATCACTCATCATACACATTTTTGCCCTTTCCACTCGATAAGTACATCAGTGCCCTGCAGTGCGATTTGGAAGAAGTTGCATCGCGCGTGGACCTGTCAGATAACTGTGTCAGTGACTCATCTTTCACCTACCTGGTCAAAGGATTAACAAGACTCTTTTAATCTTCGGTCATCGACTTAAAGCTCACAATCCTCCCAACTTTGTTTTTTCTCGCAACGGAAATACCTCGTTTTGCAAATAAGGCGCCTACCTCAAAAGCTGTTCAATTTATTTTTTTCCGACACGGTTAATGACATTTTAGCTCCTGAGCTGCAATTTTTTCGATTTTTCTGGCTTCTGTTTCAATTAGCATTCACCGATAAGCAAAGGAGATTTATTTCGATGGTACACCTTACATAATTTACCATGGGTGTAAAGACGCACGTGAATTGGATTATTGTCTCCGTAAGTGTTCTGTGGACCTCAGTGTTGTTGGCCGCCATAGTTCAAGGTAAGATTATCACTTATTGCAAACCCTCCTCTAGAGTGCAAAATTAATATGATTCCTTACTTTATACTAAGAATATGTAGAAAAAATTTCGCAGCTGTCATGCGTGAATGACTCAATATTATTGTTGAGGGTATTTTTGCTCAGAATCAAACCCCATTACTTTTTGACCCCTCAGCTCGTAATTACAGCTGGTGGCAGAAACTCATTAAATTCATTTTTTACAAAATTTGTGCAAAGTTGGTTCTATGTATTGCCTCCTGTATCCGGTATTATTCGGCACTTTCCACTTAAACCGACAGAGGCATCATGTACAAATTTATATGAGTACCTAAAAAATGTTCCTTCAAAAATGACTAGAACTACATCATGTGGGGCATTGAGGTACCTACCATGGCTTTGAGCTTAAATTTTTTCCAAATTTTGTCAGGAGAAAATCTATTTTCAAAGAAAACATCCAAGATTGTTTTTATGAATTATTACTTCTTGGAAGAGGTGATATAATGGTGAATACAAGTTGAGTTTTAGAGGCTGGTGGAGCTGTACAAACTACAACGTTGAAAAGTGGATAATCCGGTTCATTCGGATCACAAAAAGGGAAAGGAAAATTGAGACAAAGATTTCAGGGGTGGAATGTATCGAGTCGGGGGAAATGTACAGGTAAACTGGAAGTGTTTCTTAATTTGCATTAAGAGAATCTGAAAACACGTTTCATTAAAATACGTAAAGAAGAGAGCGATATTTTTTTCTTTGTGGGGAAGGGAAATCTTGGTTTATTTTGAGACACTTAAAGGTATACTTGTAATTCTTTTCTCGAATCATTTCTTGATTCTCCCCTTCAATTACTTCGTCTTTCTGGCGTTCCACTGAGTCAAGCAGAATTCATTATTCCAAGATACTGTATCAGAGCTTTGAACGTTCTGCACTTTTAGTTTTTCTATAGGTAACTGAAACTGTAAATAAACCAAAATAATCAGTACCGATTGAAAAGGTCAGGCAACCGAGATATTTTGGGGACTACAATTGGGTTAATGTGACAAAAATTCAAGACTGGTGAATTCATTGTGCTGATTTTTTCCCTAACTGAATTGGTTCTTTCCATGATTTTTTTTACCGAAACAATACTTATAGTACGTATGGAGCTATAAATCTTTATTTCTCCGATTTTAAGATTAGCTTTTTATTTCTCCGAATTCATCGCTAAAATTGTGACAATTTTTAAACGATGTGAAAAATGAATTCACTCTAAGGTCTATTCATAATTTTAAAATTGTCTAATTGTCTAATTTAACATGGGAAAAATATTTCTATAAGGTTGTAAAATTAAAGTTTTAGTATCAAATACGCATAAATCCAAGAGAGATCTTAAATGAAGGAAAAAAGTTAGGATCTTAAAGGCTCATAACTTCATTTTTTCTTTTGAAAAACCCACAAAATAATGTAGACTTCATATGATCAAAGCAATATCTCAGCGTATTAGGGCAGTTAGCGACTCCAAATTGCCAACGGAACGAACGTGAGAAGTCCGGGAACCCATCTGCCCACAAACCATCAGGCAAATGATATACCGACTGACCTCTTCTTCTGTATCCTGTCGTTTTTCGGTTCCAGGAAGATTGGAAAAACACAATTTGCGACCCTTCTATCCTATACATAATGTCATACACATAAAAACCCACTATTTCCCTTCGTTAGATCGACATAATATCATAATCTGGATTGGCCGATTCTCCTACATGATATCAGCATGATCTCATACTGGTTTTCCCTTCCTATCGTATACTGATATCATGTTGAGCCACCATGATATCATTCTGATTTGGCACGATATCATACTACTTCTGCATGATAGAATTTACCAGGGGTAGGTACTTTTTCCCTGCATGCTCTTATTATAGGGCCACATAATCTGTCCATCTCTCATTCAGGGTCCTCAACTAATAGTGTAATATTTATTCCAGATTGGCAGAAATGGATGATATTCCGAGATGTGCACACCCACAAACTGATCCCTGTGATCAACCCGCCGACGAACAACGCGTCGAGGGTCCAGCTCTTGCGCATGGGGCCCATACCTTGCTCTTGTGAAAGTCTCATTTGCGGTTGCTGCGTTTTCATGGATATCGAGTATTTTGACTACCACCGAAACGGTAAGAAAATTCCAAGATGGTGTGTTATTCATTGGCGGATCCAGCAAATTGGCAACAATGTTTTTCTCCATTTAAACCGATGGAGATGTATCGATTCTTGGAGTGGCCAGGTGCTCCGAAAAGAATCGACTATTTAACATAGGTTTTAATGGAGAGAATCCGGAGTTTCCAAAGTGCTGGATCCGTCTCTGGTGTTATTGCAGAATAAGATTCTTGCTTTCGCAAGAAGTGCCTTGAAATAAGGTGTTTCTGAGGTAAATAGTGATTAAATCGTATCCCCACTTGAAAAGGGTCAAAACTTATTTTTAGACTGCACTGAAGGAGCTGAAAGTTTCTTCATTGGGCAGAAACTGTGATTAAAATTACCATATTAGTGGCAATTTCATAAGATCTCTTTAACAGTAGTCCTGAAAAATAATATAGTATCTCGGAGTTACTTTTAAATAATATTTTCTCGTAAGTTCAAATTCCTTACAATATTAAAAGAGCAAGCTGTGATTGGTCATTATATTTCCCGCTATAGGCATAGCTATGAAACTAAGATCAAGTCTCAGGTAGGGAAAAAAATTGGAACTAGACCGAAGGCCAGCGAACTTATTTCCGCATCCTAATTTGACGCACTTAATGACGCAGTGAAATATTTGTTACTTTTGTTACAGGGGGCTGATAATGATATTTATTCTTAACGTGCTATCTTTAAATTTTAAGGAAAGAGAAATGAAAGCCTGATGAGAGTTCAGAAGTTTCCCACTTTTTAATTCTTTCTTTTGTGCCCTTAATCTAGGTCATTTTTATTTCTAGTTAGACATCGTTCAAATTGTTTTATTTTTCAGGTTGTATGAATATGACTTACTACCCGAACGATTTTGCCGTGGGAGCTAATATGTTGTGGAATGGGGAATCTGTGTGGTCTCAAAATGTATCAGGTAAAAAATATTTCACAACCTTTTAGCCACGAATAATTATTTTTAAAAGGAAGTGCGTCCTTTACTAAATAATGTCGAGGGAATGAGAACTTTTCGAATATTATTGTTCATTCCTATAAAGAAGCTCTTGAGTGTCCAAGATTACAAACATTGACAGATATTAGACGTTAATAAAATTTGGTGCCGAATGACAACATTCGGTTCGATGCGAAACCGGGACGTTTTAAAGTTTCGGTAATGTTGAACTTTTTGAACTGCGTATTTTTCGGTTTCTACATTGCTTTTTTGCGCGTTTAGTGTGCGCATCGTGTTTCATGCGTCATTCACCGTCAGATAAATGCATTCGCAAGTCAAAATTCGTTCATGGTTTAGCGACCCATTAAGTGTTGCCTAATTTCCACTCATATTTTATAGTTTACTGAATACTATACAAAAATCTGACATAAAGTTCCATGAATACGTTATCCATAATCCTGTGGAAATTGTAATGAAGAGTCAGACACTTTCGTTAGTTTTAAGACGAAAAAAAAATTAACACGAGAGAAAAACAGACCACGTGAAATAAAGTTATAGGCTAATGCCATCCCATTCGTTAATTAGCGTCCGACTGACCGAGAGACTTCTTATCGAAAGAGTAGAATGAAGTCTGGTCACACTAGCCACTTGGCAGAAACGGCGAGTGATTGTCGCTTGTCAGGTTTAAACTGACATCGTGAGAAATATAAAACGTGCAGTAAATAGCGGTTTATGAGCATTGGAAAAAAATCCGAGCTTATTTGCGCCGACGATAATTCCATGCCCGGTACTCGATTTGCAGTCGTCATTCAGGCGGCACGAGCGAGGTGCAAGAAGAATTCAAGCCCACATGATTTAAAAAGTCAGATACATTGTCACAAGAAAACTGGGCTTCTCCGTATTTTCTAGTTGCGCTGAGGAAAGTTCCTGCTGCCCCCCCCCCCAAAAAAAAAAAAAAAAAATATCAATAATTTCAAGTTAAAATTTAGTCGGATCTAGTTTGGATTTTTGTTTTGCGTTAAAATGGGCCTGTTGCATGCAAGAGATACAGCCGCGCGAATAGACTTTTAAGAGGTTAAATGACACGAAAATTACGATGGTCACATTAAAAAAGTCTGAAATACACTCCTTACTGCGCAATTTGCGTTGTCAGGAACGCGCTTTTTCAAATTTCCCGCGTCTGGGGGCAGTTTTCTAATCACCGGAAACGAGCAAACGGCGGGCTCGGTGATTTCCGGAAGATGCCGAGTCATTGTTGTTGTTGTTATTTTTTCCTTCAGTTTGTTTACAAACCCAACGTGATCTCTTATAGTATAGTCCCTATACGCTTTATGCGGTAACCAAATCGATCAACTTTTAAATATCCAACGCAAATCCTTCTACATTTCATTTCACGATATCACGAGCTCCGATTTTTAGGTTATGTTGTCAGTTTTAGTTGACCGGAAATAGCCGGGAGTTGCCGTTAATTGTTTCCGTTAGAAAACTGCCCCCAGACGCGGGAAATTTGAAAAAGCGCGTTCCTCACAACGCAAAATGCGCAGAAAGGAGTGTATTTCAGACTTTTTTAATGTGACCATCGTAATTTTCGTGTCATTTAACCTCTGAAAAGTCTATTCGCACGGCTGTATCTCTTGCATGCAACAGGCTCATTGTTTTAGTTGTGATACCAAGAAAAATTGTATCGTTATTGTAAGTTTCTGAGGAGGACAATTATTCGAGAAATTCTATTGTTTGCTGAAATACATATGTTTGAAAGGAAAATACAACCCATCCACCGTATGATGTCACAAGACGGCAATTTTTTTTTATTTTTGGAATATATTATCCCCCGCAATGTCAAGTGCCGGAGAATAATTTCAAAAATTACTGTGAATTTAGCCCATATAGTGCTTCCGTATAAAATCATACCCTTTTTTCGGAGTGTTTGCCGGAATGAAATCAGAAAACGCTGAGGAAAGTTAATTTTTAATTAAATTAACCCTATATTTTTTCATTAAATTTCCCTTCAAAGATCTGATTACCCAAATACTGTTGACGCTCAAAATACTGCCAACGAGGCTAACCATTTGGCTTGGCTGAAATTGAGTGACGTCATACATGTCGATGACTAAAATGCGACTCCATGTATCTCCATTGCAATGTTTCAAAATTTCCACGCCTAGTTTATTATTTCGAAGAAAAACAAGTCAACTTTCTGGCTTGATATTCTTACAGAATATTCTAGTGATGCGAGAGAAGACTCAAGGAAGTTTTCAAGAAATTACGTTGACTAGTTTTCTGAGAAAAAACAAAGTTTGACAGGAAGTATGCAACGTCGCAAACGGAGAGACATGGTCTCGCACTTTAGACATCGATATTTAAACCGCGCACTTGTCGATGCTAATTCCAGACAAATGTATTGAAAGTTCGAAATTGAACAGTAACCGACCTGAAGTTTACCTCATTGAGGACGAATTTCAGAGGAAAAAGTTTATAATCAAATTGTAAAAAAAAAACAAATATTCTAAAAAAAAAAAAAAAAAAATACCATCTTAGGAAAAAAAGATGAAATGCAGAGAATATGGAATAATGTTAACAAGAAGGTGTCGAGCTTTGAGTTTCTGTGCTATGAGTTTTTTTCGCTATGAGTTTGAGAATAATTTAGAGATATACGCGTCTGGTTCTGGTTCTCGAAAAGATGTTACATAAGACTAGATACCTCCTCTAGGAAATCCACCTCAGCATATGAATTTTTGGCTAAAGGTCATACCATTGATCACAAAAATTTCGTATCCTCTTGAACTAGCCCTAACGCAACTAAGGACTATAGCTCCAGGTGAATGAACTTGAAATCGACCTATCCTGACCGCAATGAATACCGATGATAGTTAAATCTAAGCGATTGATTATTAATAAGAGAGAATAAATGCTTTTATGTTCATCAATGTTTCGAATAGACGTAGAGATACACACTTGTTCTCCACAAGAAAATCACCGCGGAGACAGTGTGGTTCTTTTGTGTTAGATGCAGAGCAGGACTTAATGATTGTGTAATGGAATCCGGACCAAGAGGCAAACACACTGACTACGTTCAAATTACTGATTCCCGAATCGATTGTTCGTAAAAAATGACTGAAAACAAATAAGAAGCGAATAAACTGGTTTTTCTAGTAGTGCCGTCGACAAGAGATATGCAAGAAACAATACAAACAAGTCAGGTCTGGAATTTAGATCCAAAATTAGGGGAGTTGAACGTGGAAAATGTTTCAGGAGTCTCGGAGAAAACTTCCCTGGTGTGCAAGTTGAGTTTGAAATAATAACAATAACTGATTCAATTCATCATCACAATAGACCGTATTTGATAACGGTTCGATGTATCGTTTGGTTCAAAACTATAGAACATAACCTCAAACCGAAACTGTAAGGAATTAAGTTGGAAAAGCTGAAAATGAGAAATTTCCTGAAAATTTCACTTCACAATAGGCATTTGGTACTCAAAAGAATAAAAAATCTGTTTCAAAAGACCCGCTCTCTCAGATTTCTGAATTTACTTTTGAGGCTATGTTTATGTTTTGAACCAATCGATATCGATAAAATCTCACCCGTTTGATGTATCGAATAAGATTCTATATATAATTCCGTAAGCCCGATCCTTTGGGTCAAAATTCAGCGGGAACCGCCGGGCCGATCCGGTCGCGGGTGGTACCGGTTTGACCGTCCCGGTCCTTCGATGGCGGGAAAAATAGAGGGATCGCGCGGCGGGCCCCGCTCTCCTTGCGCCCTTTGAAAAATCGGTTATCACGTTCGTCCCGTCTAGAGTCCCTTTATACTGAGAGTCAAGACAATGTGAATCCATTTCTGATAGGCTCCCGTATTTTAGGCCTCCACAGTGTCACAAACGGGAATAAAGATTACATTTTCACCGATTGCAAAAATTATAATCTGGAATGGACCAGGAAATTACGGGTTAGGCAAGGAACAAACGGAATGAGAGAAGGGACGGAGAAAGGAATTTAAGAATGGGCCGATCAAAGATTACAAAGAACGCTCAATTTCTGTAATCTTTATTCCCGTTTGTGACTCCATGAGGGGTGTTGTCTTGATTCTCAGTATAAAGGGACTCTAGTCCCGTCGGGAGATGCGCGGTTTATCGTTATTCTCGAGGGCCTCTTTTCGGTCGGCCGATAGTTCGGCTGCCCGAGGTGGTTGTTGTCATAGATATCGCCGTGGGTGATGGATTTTCGGCGGGAGCGTACCTAAAAATTTTACGTAAATAAACCATATTCGCACGATAGGAAGTTCAGAGATCAACTTTGAACGAGATATTAACAATACGATGATCAAAATGCGGAGCCACGGATCTCCTTTTGCGACGCTCCAGGAGCAGACTCCCTGCCACACTCAACGCAATTTATTTAAAATTATCATAATTTTTCTTCTCCTTCGGTAGAATATTCTGCATGTATTTCAAGCAATAAAGTTAGCATCTTTCTCATTTAAAAAAATTGAAAAAAATTAGTAAACAAAAAGCTGGAAAATTTCCGCAATCCTTTGATCCCAAGATTGCAGGCTCGCGGTGTGAACACTAATACGCAACGAGTATAAACCGTGGCAATAACGTCTTTTATGAATAAATTCAACCATTCCGCTCATGGAAGAAAGAATAATTTACTGGGGTTAAATTGCACGGTAAACTTTACTATGACAGTCTCAGTAATGTGAAAATATGGCAACATCAATCTTGACGCTAAGCTCAAGCTGTATAAACTTTGAATTCAGTTCCCGTAACCAATGGTCAATTTAAACGTTAATAGCTTAGTTAGAAGTTGATTTCAGTAGTTTTCGTTGCGCGAATCGTGTTCTGTATGAAATTCTGTAGAAGAATCATGTCTGTATCAGAGTGCATAAATTCGTAACTTGTTAAATGGTCCATTCAATCGAAAAAAGCGAACACAGAAAACCTTTCTAACTTTTCTCAAAAAAAAAAAATGTTTTATAGGGAAAAACGAGGCAACGTTGGACTGCTTGAACGGCGTCGAAACACAGCATGGAACGTTTAAGCCCCATTGTTAGATGCCGTGATTATCCTAACGCGAGTTCGAATCATCGCCCGAAACACGCTGCGGTCGGCATCAAACTCATATCAGCGCCTGCAAGCCTGCAGGAATACTTCATGCATTGCGCCAAACAGTGCGGTCGGCTTCGAGCGCATGTTAGCGCCTACAAGACTGCATGAATACTTCTCGAATTGCACCAAACGCAATGCAAGAGTTATTTGCGGTAGCTATCCGACTACAGCTGTAGGCACATTGCCGCTAGCTGGATTGATGGCGCACCACACTATGAATATGACTCGACACTCGACTGAGCTCCCTTCCCGGGCTTGAGCGTCGCTAATAAAATCGCCGCAAAACTAGGACGATGTGTCATTTCTTTGGACGGTCCCTGTCCGGTTTTTGCCAAAATTAAAGGGTAAATAAGTGTGTTATTAAGGTTGTCAAACAAATCAATTGTTTGCAAGCATGTACCTGTGCGATTTTCGTCCAGAATGTTGCTCGAGATTTCTTGAAATTAGCAGAAAAATTTTGGACATTTTCAGTCAGCAATGCCCAAGATACTATTGCTGAAAATGCATTTTTCAAGGAGAAGTTTGGCAGCATTGAAATTTAGATACGTTCTTTCGTCGGAACAACCAATTGTGCCCCAGGCCTGTCTTTTCTTAATGAGATATCGTCATTTTGATTCTGATTCTGTTACTGCAGGCAAGAACCCACCTCCTGTGTGCATGCAGATGCCGATTCCGTACCTGCCGGCGATGGACATGTGCGTGCGCATGTTCGACATCTACACCCCCTCGGGCCCAGAAGGCTACAACATCCACATGTGCATGAACTGGGAGTTCCGCACGGAGCGAGCCCCTCTGCTTGTCCTGGAGTTCGACTGCTTCCGCATGGGACAGGACGGATGGGCCAACATCAAACCGGGCACCCCCAACGCCGGGCTCCCTGTCGACATGGGCATGGGCTCGGGAGGCGAAGGCATGCCCGCAGCTGGAGAAGAGGCACCTCAAGGTAACAGTACCCTTTAATTTGACCGTGGATTGAGGGAATATTCAAGAAATCCCGACGCAATTTAGGGCATTCACAGGATGGACGAGGGTCCAACCTAGGTGATGTCCTATATTACCTATCCTACTATACTACCTATACTGCTATCCTACTACCGTGCTAAAGGAAAAACGCCGTATGAACATTCAAGAGTTGCCACATTTCCTTCGATGAACTATTTATTTTTGAAGAAAGCTGTGGATATTTTTCCCTAAAAATTTCAGGAACTTTTAGTGAAATTGCAAACAAAATTATCTGAAAAATTGGAAGAAAATATTCACAAAGTTTCCCGAAAATTCGTGATTTACCGAGGAAAATTTGGCAACACCTGAAGGCTCATGCGGGGTTTTTCTTTAGCACGGCAGTATGCTTACGCATTCTACTTTTTCTCAGGGGTAAACCGTCCTTTGAGACTGGGGCCCAGGGCCGGATTCGCCGAAGTACTGGGGTGCTACATGTCGGCGCAATCCAACCCTCTGGAACAATTTTTTCTATTAGCATTTTCAATTTTTCTATTTCCCTGGGGTTGTTCGATCAACTTTTTTGAGGGCCCCTGAAGTCCAGGAGATTTCAGAGAATTGACGAAGGCCTGAAATTAGGATTTAGGGTTCATGGGACCCTTAAAGTTCAGGGTTTAGGACTCCATAGTAAGAGCATCTGAGACCCGTTGTTTTTTTGGAAACTTGGACCGCCTTCAATTCACGAAGTATACAGCCCGCAATGTGTGAGCTGTTTACCCGCCAGCATCCGGGCCCCTAAACGCTAATTCGGCGTTAGTGGGGCCACAGAGACGATAAAGCTCAGATCCAGGGACAATTTGAAGAAAGCTATATGGCCCCCAAGAATGCCTCGAGGCTCCCATAAGTAAAGGAAAAAACAAACAAACGAGGTCCCTTCTAAAAAAAGAAGCTACAAGAAAACAAAGAATACAACGTCATAAATGATTGCCTTTAATCACATTCAATTGTTCGCGTTTCGCTAAATGTCACACCGTTTTAGTCTGGAGATTTGCATGGACCGCAGATCAACAGAAAATAATTTATTAATTAACCAAAAAAGATATTCTCGTCACACTTCATAGTACTAGTATTAATCTGATCCTCGATTTACCACTCCCAGTCATTAATTTGACACTCATCAGATTGTTTCCATAAACTTAACTACAATTAAAATTTTTACCGATTGACTTTCAAATGATACGCACTCAATGTCGTCGTCGGCGATAAAACTATCCTCCAATTTGGTTCCTTTTTTTTACGCACATTCTCAGCTGTAGAGCACTGCCATATACGCCTCATTACTTATTGATCGAGTTGCTTTTTTCATTTCAATTGATAATACTTTAATATGCTTCAACTCACATTTTAAAAAAATTATAAGATGGAGTTGTTCCTATCCAAAAATATATTAAAAAAGCAAGTGCTTTTCTTGAATTTTAATGTTTGCAAAAAATGAGACAGACTATACAAGTATCGTGGTTTCTCGAAACCAAAAGGCATATAACTCTCAAGAATTAGGCAATAACGAATCATGAATCATTGGCCATCGATATTTTCCCATTTTAAGCAATAAAATACCCTGAAAATCGATTTTTTTTCCCATGAGTTTAAGTGGCAGATAAATCGATTTATCGATAAACACGACACGCCACTGGAATTAATTAGGCTACAGATAGCGAGGACCGCAAACAAATTATCGGGCGTGACTTGCTCTACATTTGAGACAAGTTCTGTTTTTTTTTCAAACGTTCATTTTAGTCAGAGAGTGTGAAAGATGCTTTTTTTATATTTGTATTCATTTTGCAAAGTCGAGGAAGAGAATATCTATGAGGAAATATTGCCGAGTTCAGCCTGATCGCTAAAATTCTAACGGAATACCCATGCATGAATGAAGAAAGATGTTGTTTACGTAAGACGCTCTTATATTAATGGCTCGAGAAAAATCCTTAGCGTTCATCATGGATTTTAGTTTTTATTTTTCCCCCAGAAAACCTGCTAGTATCTTCTCTTCTACAAAATGGTAACAAATATTGTGAATGGGAAGATAATCTTGCAACGTTTGTATGAACGATGCTTGCAAATGATTACTCTTCCTCGAGAAAAAATTAAAAATAAATAAAAATTAATCAAAGGTGTGATAAAGCAGGACACGTTCTAAGAAATCCATTGATGGTTCCTCATTATGTTTTAATCAATTTAAAATTGAGCCCATTTTAGAGTCATGATAATTACCGTAGTCTCGTTGTCTTTACACCATGCAGAGACCATATTCTCGACGTCTTGATTTGCCCTCTCTGCACTCCCTTGACCCTGACTTTGTCACGGTTTACCGTGCACAATTTTTAATTCAGCCCACATTTCCCTCAGACACTCTATCATTGAATTGCAAATTTCCCGGCCGTTGTCCGACTGCAATACTGCTGGGGCTCCAAAAATCGTGAAAATGTCTAGCAAGTTGTACGCAACCTCATCTGCTGTTTTTGTCTTAAAAGCTCGCAAACTGACGAATTTCGATGGATGGTCTTGATAATTTAAAATAAATTTGAATTCACCATCGGGCTGCGACTGCAAATCAATCAAATCTAGTTGACAGCGACTATTTACGCGGGGAAAAATTATAGGTTTTACAACAATGCCCCTTTTCATGACATTCTTCTTTACCTGAAAAGTTTCACTAAAGTCTAAACAATTTTAACTAGGGCTTGAGTAATGTTTTTAAAACGGGCATTCAGTTCGTGCATCATAAGTAGCCGTTTGTTTTTGTTTTGATAATTTGACTTGATTCAATTCTGACTTTCACACTTTACCTGCAATCCGCCCGTTATTCTAAAGAATAACTAGTTAAAGTGTGCAACCCACGAAAATTCTACACTTTAACTGGCCGTTTCAGTTAATGTATACTTTAACTAGTTAATGTATACATTAACGGATTACATACTTTAACGCTAACATATTGATATGGAAGAAAAACAGTTTTTCCAACCGCAAAATCCCGTCTGAACGTGACTTAGGTGCAACACCATATATAAAAAGGTTGCGACAATTATTATTAGTAGAGAAGATAATCAGAATTTTTGATCTTATACAGATCATTTCCATGTTTTCGTTACATCTGATCAACATTATTAAATATGTTGAGTTGATCTGCATATATTAACAAATTAATAGCCCTTCTAATTTATCTCCTGAAAGGACTGTTAGGAATCAGAAGTTTCTGGTTATGGTCCTTGCGCTAAGCAAAGCCGCACTTTTTTGTTACATCTCGTTATTTCGCTTACGAAAGAACGTAATCTCATTTCAATGTTGCCAAAGTTCCCCTCGTAAATTGCATATTATTATATTTGCGTATTTGCATATTTAGGAGAATCTTGGGCATTCTCAACTGAAAATGTCACTGATTTTTTATCAAATTTCATACAAAAATAAAAAAAAATTGATAAAAACTGCACAGGTACAACTTTGTAAAATAAATTAATAGTTCGAGTCAATTTGACAACCTTGGTTTAAAGTTACATTTCTTCGTACGGAAAACGACGATTTTTCCAAGCTTGAATGCTGATTAACATAATTTTATACAGTTTTGCTCATTTTGAACGATATCTCTAGCCATCAATTAAAACGAGTAAACTTCGCTGGAAAAAACATCGAACGATCAATAATTGAATGGTCTGACAGGGCCCTATGAGAGATTCTTCAAATGCTTCTCTTGCCGGCCATCTAACTAATGCATCGTAGTTCGTTATTAAAATCGCCCCCCCACCCAACTAATTAAGTCATTGGTCTTGTTTTATTGTCAGTTCTGAATTTAAAACAATAAACTTTGTTGTTTTCAGGCGCAGAGGGAATAGCGGGTGAAGTAGAAGGAGTAGTAGATGAAGTTGTAGGTGAAGCTGAAGAGGCTAACGATAACAAACGAAATCTAACGACAACGACAAGAAAGCCACCCAAAAAAGTTCCACCACAACCACGTCCATCAACAGCAGCCCCTTTTCTCAGCCTCGAGGTTGAGGAATTATCCAGCTCTAGTCTTATAGTGCCTAACACAACTGACAAGTACTCCAGCAATAAAGTAACACCGGAAGAGAATAATCTCGAAATCAAAGCACCGAACTTGAACCTGAATATCAAGGAATTCGAAGACCTTAACACAAGACTCAGTGTTCTCAACGCTCCAGAAAAAGTTGTCAAAATAGACTTCAACCTGGATACCTCTAACAATACAATCACCGAAAAGGCCAAACACGTGCAGTTCGCTAAAAACACGCAGTTTCCAATCGTCAAAGATGCGATCGACCTAAATCGGGATCTTGAGTCTTTGATCGAAGACCCGACGGAGGCAAGGACTTTGGGATTGGACTACGATAACTCCATCCCAGATTCGGTGCAAGTTTCGACCCAAGATAGGAAACTGACCCGATCCAAAAGGGATGCGAAGGGGAGAGGAAAGCGCATCCGGGAACGGGAGCGGCCGGCAAAGAAGAAGGACAAGAACCCGGACAGGATCGAGAATAAACGAAGAAATAAGAACCGAAATCGGAACAAGAACCGCGAAAAGCACAGGAACCGGAATAAGCTCTACGCGCCGACGCTGAGTTTCAACATCGTGGAGATGTCGCAGGAATACAAGTCCGGAAAAGATAAACGCCCGATGATGTCTGGATTCCATGATGATAGTCGCTCCACGGCCGGTCCCATGGGACCACCGAAAGAAATCGTGCTCACGTACCCGGAACCTCGGGGTCAAAGGTCACTTCGAGATCACTCGACAACGGACGATAGTTCTTTGTGCCATGCGGGCTCCTCTCAGGAAGCGGAAGAAAATCCTCTTCCGATAGGTAGAACTAGGAAAGTCTATAAAGTAGTAGAAGAGCCGGAGGTGCGGGAGGAACCGGAAGAGGATCCACTCCCGCAGAGAAGAACAAGGAAGATGAGAGCGCCAGATCAAGAAAGGAGGTCTCCCCAGGAAGGCAGAGCTAGAAACGGGAATAGAGCCTTGTCTCAGGCGAAGAAGGGATCTAGGGTCCCAACTCAGGAGCCGGAAGTGAAGTCGTTTCCGGAGGGGAGGCCCAGGAAAGGGAGGCGCGCACCGTCGCAAGACGTTAAGGCAGACCCATCCGTGGAGAGCCGGCCCAGGAAGGGAAGGAGAGCACCGGAATTGGAAGTCGGGCTCCGGAGAATGCGCAGGTCGGTTGACCCGGGGGATAGCACGGCGTTCCCTTACAGACCAGTGACGGAGAGACCGGAGACAGGGCCTGCGCGAGCACAGCGAACCCATCGAGACCGGCGGGCGACCGTTGAGAACCGGCAGTCGGCCGAAGAGACCCAGCAGTCGGCAGAGGAGGACCGAAAGTCGGCTGACGAGAACCGGCATTCGGCTGAGGAGAACCGTCAGTCGGCCGAGGAGGACCAGCAGTCGGCTGACGAGACCCAGCAATCACCCGCGGAGAACCGTCTGTCGGCCGATGATGACGAACAGTCGGCTGACAAAGACCTGCGGTCGGCCGATGAGAACCGGGCACGAAAACCTGGGAAGAAAAATCGGCGGACAACGGCTCATCCCTCATTCGTGGCGCCGGCGTTGAACCTGGACATCCTCGAGGTGGAGCCACCGTACCGACCTCTCTACGGCTACAACGATAGGTACAAGTTGGATCAGACCCTGACGTCAATGACGACGCCTGCACCGACAACGATGAGCCCAACGACGACGCCGATGACGACACCGATGACACTCAAGGTCGGGCCCGACATCGACATAAATATCAATAACCTCTACATATATTTGGCTACATTCACGACCTACATGAGAAATGAGACGCTTGATGAATATTAGGCCGCGTTTGCCGTGAAGGAGGTATCGGAAGTGGAGGTAGAATCCCTCTAGTGGCAGATTTTTTACATCTTAGGTCCTGGATGTCGCAAAGGAGCAGAAATATTTTACAGTCTGTGGTTTCTCTCGTTGTCTTTGATCAACTCATTTCCGCATTCCTCTTTCGTTTTGCTTGTTTCCCGCCGTGGCCATAGCTCCCCGGTCCATTCCAGGTTATTATAATCTTTGCAACTAGCGAAAGTGTTTCTGCCCATTTGTGACATACCCAGAGACAAGAAACCATGTGAGCCTAATTAAACACAGGAACTAATCAGGGATGGGATACTGAATGTATTAACTTGGGCTAAAAATAGACTCTATGGATACTCGGAGTGAAAAGGAAGTGATCTCAACTGACTTGAGAATAACAAAAGTTTCGTTCATTCTGTTTGATAGACCAACTGGACGTAGTTCTACCAAACAGACCTATGTGGAAGTGAGAAATATGTGGTGTGCTCGTTAGTCTCTGGCCGTAAGAGTGAATGAGAATAATAAAGCGCCAGTGACGTCAGCGGCAATGATGACGCCCGCGAGCGAGGGGGAGATGGTCGTCGGGGCGCTTTAACTCATGAGCCCTGTCCACAACGCTTTCTTGCCATGCCCGCGGCTCATGAGTTCCGCACTCAGCTGCACATAGGTCTGTTTGATAGAATGCAATATCCCGCTTTTCCAATTCTTCAAAAGGAACCACGCCCACTTTTACATTGCTTCTTATGCAGATTTCTAGAGCACACCCCACATTTCTCATCGCCACATAGGTCTGTTTGGTAGAAATACGTCCAACTGAAGGTCTCGTTTCTACGAAAAACACCTCTATTGAGGCTTCCTAGGTCGCAGCACCATCTGGCACGAAGAAAACTTCTGATTAGACACCTTACTCTCCTCCATGCTCAACTATTCTTTAGATTAGCACAGTTAGAGACTCATGGTTGTTATAGGTTACTCCAGGTGGAATAAATAACCACGCAAGTACCCCTATTCAGGTAACTTGTGAATATCCTACCCTAAAACTCATATTAAGTTCCTACTAAATTGCTTTAAGAGATTGTTGAGAACGCTCCTAAAAAGCATTTGTGTGCGGGAAAAGACAATAATATAGGTAAAACTCTATAAATAATAACTTATTCAGAATCAACATTTACAATTGCTCAAAATGTTTCGAAGGTATGCATTGCTCGGCCCGACCAATGCAATGTTCAAACTAATCAAATTTCAGTTGTAACCTCGGCACGGCGTACATAGAAAACACATAATTGGATGAAGACATCTGTAACGCTATCTCATTGCCAAGCAAATAGCCACTTCTCGCGAGAAATTGATTAAATGCGGTTTACGATGAGGGTGAAATCATTAATTTTGAGAATATTTATTTACAGCTATTTACCAGACGCATCATTTACATCCGTGTTAATATTCAATGGAGCATTAGATTTTATTGCTAGTCACGTGGCTTTAGATGACGTTGAATAAAAATTTAAAAAATAAATCCACCGAAATTTTGAATACTCCTCATTGAATGTTCCATAGAATGCATCATGATTTTTCTTTTAATAAAAAAGCTGAGAGGAATTGAGGTTGCAACTGGGGTATAGGTTACGGAATGTTGCAAAAATCCATTTCTCGTTATTTTTCATTGAAAGTTTGCCCGGAAATGAGGAATTATGTCAATGCGCTCTGGTATTTTAGATTTAATTCTGCCAGGGACTTAATAGTGATAAGGCCCATTAGAACGATTAAAATTGTGTGCACCACCGAAAAATAGAAGTACCCAAGAAAAACGTGAAAAAATGAGAAAGACCAATTAAATCGTAAGCAGTACTTTATGTTGTGTGCGCTTTGTGTATGCATTTTCTCAGGCCATAACATTCAGTGAGATTCTCGACCTTTAACTGAAATTATCAATTTTAGAATAATGTGCTGAAATATTTACCTCTGAAAAAAGTTATCGGGGGCATTCGCAGGACAGAATAATCATCCTGCGAAAAGTTTGTCACGTAAGTTGAAGGTATATTCTCTCATTTCCAGCAAAACTATCGATCCAATTGGGACACTGTAACTGTGACGTTAGTCTGTGATAGCCACCAAGTCTGTTTTCCCTCTCGCTTTCTTCCCATAAAAAGATTGGAGAATAGAAACGAAAGTTTATGGCCATTGGGCTACTCTGTGATTAATTTTGAAACAATGCTGTGTCGTGGAAACTGAGAGATAATGAATCATTTCAATCGTCGATGATTATAAACTTGCACCTTGATGGAAACTTTGTGCAATGCTGCAACATGATATATACATTCTCACTCTGAAAAAAGTATCACAATCCCAACTTTACTACTGGCTGATTTTGGCGCCAGATATAAGAGTGGTTTCGCTAAACAGAGGCATGGTTAATCCAACCACACTTTTTACAGACTCAACCGTACCTCTGACTGGTGCAACTACTCATATATCTAGCGCCAAAATCAGCAAGTCCAGTTGAGATCGTGATACTTTTTTTTTCGTGTTGCTTATTTTCTGATCTTGACTTACATTGCTCCATAGTAATCATACCAACGTCCTCGTTATTCATCCGAAGAGAGAGGAGGAAATCTAGAAAAAGAGCATCAGAAAAATTCAATTTTTCAGAGAGTGGTTAAAAAAGTTTTGAACGATTAATTTCACCTGAATATTCTTGACTAAACAGCAGCTGAGCGTTAACATATAATTTAATGTTATACATGGAAAATTGCACTGCATACATATTTGTTTGAGTTTCGTTTGACCGCTTGCGTTTTCAGCTATGGGCAATTTCATATAATTAGTTTCATATTTACTGGCGGTTTATATTTAAAATATGATAATGTCCGAAAGAAAATATTTTTTTTTCTTCATAGAAAAATGTGTAATTGAGATTTTTAGCGAGTATTCCAAGGGAACTCGAAATTCATGTTTCAATGAGTTTACAATTACTTGATTTTACTGTTGTGTTTTCTTTTTCTATTAGCTTATACAATTAGTCTTTAGGGAGCGTGAATCTATTTTTTAGGACTCGTCTTTTTGAGGCGTAACCCGTACATTTGTAAATTCGTTGTAGAATTTATCCTGCTTATACTTGACAATTTTTATATTTATTGACTGACAGAACATTTTTTATGCCGGAATAAAAGATTGATAAAATTTGAAACACATTTCTCCCTTACTTAGCCCTGTTTTAGTTATTATGAGGCGTTATTTTTTATTTATTTATCATCATTATTATAAAAAAGCACTCGCACAAAGATATAATTTGAGTCACAAGGACCCGAAAACATATAACTTTTTGACAGAATTAAAAATTAAGAGCTAAAATATTTTCTCTCTAAATCTCATGAATTGAGACCATACTGTGGTAGTAGGCATTCCATCCGTTCAGTACACCCGATTTACTTACCAGTAAAATAAATTGATCAGGTTTAATTTCGGTTAGACGGAGAAAGAGATATTTGGTAATCACCTATGATCACTTATGTGCTCTGAAAATTTGAAGAGATACATTTTCCGCAATGAAGGGGTATCTATAAAAATATCAGTTGGTATGAAAATTGTTACCATGCTACAGTAAAATTTTACAAGTCGACTAAAAACTAAGGTGACAAGTGGTTTTTGGCTAACAGTAGACATTAATTATGGTCTTTCACTGATGCTCATGAATTGAAAATTTTGGGACTCAGTTGCTGGTGGTTGGAAGTGTGTCGTTTCTAAGCTTTGATGATTTTAGACACTTACATAAATTAGAGTTCTGATATAGTTAGAGGGAGCGTGCCAATAGACGACCAAAATAGTCAGAAACACTGTATTTTATCAATGATTTCAAAAATCCAAGTAATTTGAATTTGAAATGAATTGTTCTAAAATTCTGTCAGACATGCTCAGCGGTTCTCCTGCAGCTGATCAAAATTCGCCTTCAATATGCACGATACACAATTTATCATACACCGACGAACCATTTTTGGCAGATTTAATTATCTAGACTGGTATAGATGTTAGATCGGATTTTTTTCTTTCAATGTGTCTGAACATCAAAATTCGTACTGAGGAAATTGAAAAATGCATTGGTTACCGGCTAAAAAAATTCACAGAAAGTTTTCAAGCTTCAATTATACAGGAAGGCTTTATAGAGGAAGAAAGAAGAATTTTAAGGAGAAGTGAAACAACAAAAGAAGAGACTAGGAAGGACTGGTTGTAAGTAAGCATGTAAAGGGATGTGTACAGAAAGAAGAGAGAAAAATCAGAGGAAAAAATTAGGCTTTCGGTTGAAAATTAGCGGGGGGGAGCACATCGAATTGAAATTTTTTAAAGGGCATGTATTTAAAAGTGGATTTTTAAGAAAAGAATGGGGCGAGGAGGGTACACGTTTTTAATGCTCTCGAAGAGTTGAAATAACAGTGCAACACAATACAATTGAAAAAATCTAATTGCGCCATTCTTTCAAATGTTTAACGGAAATAAGTAAAAGTCAGTAGTTTGGTATTACGAGAGGAGGTACGTATTGGGAAAAAACGTTGATTTCTTACACCATAATTCAGAAACTTAACCTGAGCATTATCCAAAGATCTATAAAATTATGGAAAATTCAGTTTCAGTATCTTCTCAGCGTTTTAATTTTATCAGCATTATTATTTACACCTACGGTGCCAGTTACTTTTTTTTATTTTTGGAGGTGATTATGCTTTGAGGCGACCGTGAAACCGCGCTTTGATATATATAGAATTGAAAAAAATGGACAAAATTACAGGTTTTCAAATTAATGTGATACATTGTACCTTTTATGCCTTACTAAGTATTCAGATGAGAGCAAGTGCTTTTTCGCATTTGGACTGCATTTTGCAATTTGGGACTATAAATTCTGGCTCTTCTGGAAAAACACTTATGTGGATAGGAAAACTAATGGCACATACGTATTTTATAAACCGGGCTATAAGTTATAGTTCCAAATTGCAAAATGTAATCCATTCTATAATTCTAAAATAGTTGACCACTGCAGTGGTAAATGAGAAGGCAGGCACGTCCAAGATAGATGGCGGAGGGGTATCGAACATTTTTAGGCAGGATTAGCTCATACCAATGTCAATGCATTTAATATCAATGGACGTAGAATATGAATAACAATTCCTCAAAATTATTTCGCTAGAAACAGTGCAGCCTCCTTACATCAGCCGTTGAAAAAAGCACTGCGTTTTCTTTCATCAAAATACTTTTGACTGCTCTCTATTTTACGAGCTTCAGCTGGGAAGATATTACTAATTATATTACTAATTGATGAAGGAAATACAATTTTAGAGGAATACACGAAATGATTTAAATCCGCTAGTTTCTCTCCCGCAAGCAGCAGATGATGTTCGGTTATGTCGCGCAAAAGTTGCCTGTGCGTAAAGTTTCCCAAAAACTGCCAGCGTTCGGCCTGAAATGAAAAATACCTATTGGTACTGCTTAGGATAAATCATGATAAAATCACAGCAGCTGTATGCTTTGGCTTTATCAACTGCTGAAGATTCCGAAAAAGAAAAACTTAAAAATAAAACGAACATTGCATGATGTGGCCGGGTCTGTGAGAAGGGAATTTACCTTTTGGGAGAAAATTGTCCTTATCTTTTTTAAAAATATAAATTTAGTTTTTTCACAATCTAAACATTTTTGAATGGGAACTTTTTATCGGACTC